CAGCCTGGGCCCCTGTTGCCCTCACTCTGTCCCCAGGCTCGATGCGTGGCAGGAGAAGGGGCAGGCGAGCTACCAAGGCATTGACTTGAGGTCTTCTCACCTGCTTGGGAGCCTCAGGGGGCTTCTTCTTTTCAGCTCGGGGCAGGGCAGAGGCTTTCGAGTTACTCTCCTTTTTGCTCTGCAGGCAAAGACAGACAGATGTTGCCAGAAGAAGCATCAGCACAGATAGGCCACGCCTGTCTCCAGAGCCTTGAACGAGGCCAGCTTCTCACCCAACTATATAGTATAGTCGAATGCTTAGCTTGTGCCATTCTATGCGTCAGCCTCTCCCTCTGCAAAAGTAGAGGCTGAGGCACAGAGTGGAAAACTAATGCATCCACAATCCCACCAACAGTGGCAGAAGTTAAACGAGAGCCTAGGAGTCCACTGCTTTCTACTCCAGTCGTGAGATCTTATTTGCCTCCCAGAGCTGGAAACAGAACCCAGGAGTCCTGACTCCCAACCTCTTGGCCTTCGACTGTATTTCTTATCAGAGCTTCCACAGAACCCATGAGCCCCAGCTCCCAGGCCCCCTTGCTCCACTCACTCCTCTGATTCCTTTCCAGGCCAAGTGCCAAGCAGAGGCTCATCCCACCTTGCTGTCCCCCATCACAAGTCACATTTGGAGGGGGTCATTTCCTTCAGTGCCAGACTTTTCTCACCTGCAGCTGGTTCTTGGCTGTGCTGTCTGGTGTTTCCAGCTCATTCTTCTTGGATGTCTGGGGGGTCCGATTTTCTTTGTGGATATTATCTGAGCTTTCTATATAACGAAAGGATGAGAAACGGAGACGTGGCTGTTTGTAAAGGGGGCCATCAACCTACATTCTACTTTTCCATTTAATCCACCCTGCCTGAAATGATTACAGCTGAACATGAAATAAATTCATCCTATTTAGTTTCCATCCTGCCTGCTCTTGGCCTATTATTTTTGCACGTTGGCCAATGAACGCTGGCTGTTTGGCTTGGGAGTATGTAGTCTAAAGAAAAAAAACAAACAAGAGGGAGATTTTGATACCACTAATAGAATCACAGAAAATGAGGGCTGGAAGGGACCTCAGGAGGTCACATCTAGTTAAACCCCTGCTCAAAGCAGGACCAGCCCCAAGTAGATCATCCCAACTGAGGCTTTATCTAGCTGGGTCTTAAAAACCTCCAAGGATGGAGATTCCACACTTCACTACCTTCCCTAATGAGAGAGTTTTTCCTAATATCTCACCTAAACTTCCCTTGTTGCAAGTTGAGACGGTTGCTCCTTGTTCTATCGTCTACTATCATAGAGAACAGTTTTGTTTTGTCCTCTTTGTAACCCCCCTTCAGGTAGCTGAAGGCTGCTACTAAATCTCCCCTCAGTCTTCTCTTCTCCAGACTAAATAAGTCCAGTGCCCTCAGCCCCCTAACCATGTCACATGCCCCAGCCCCCAAACCATTTTCAATGTCCTCCTCTGAACTCTCTCCAATACCTGAGTGGTGATTATAAAGAGGATGAAAATAGACTATTCTCTATGACTCCAGAGGCCAGGGCAATGAGTATGTGTCTTCAATTGTGCCAATGGAAATTTAGAATACATTTCCCTTGAATCATACGGTGGTTCAGCACTGGAGCAGACACCCAGAGAAGCTATGGAACCTCCAGCCTTGGTAGTTTTTACGAGCTGGTTGGACAAACTGAGATGGT